GTTTCTTTGTTTGTTTTTATTTACTAGTCACATGGTAATATTTCATCATTAAACTCTTTCTGTTGTTGTTGTTAGACATATTTGTTCTCGAAAGCTCGCAAAATACAAAATTCAATCGATTTTTATAATCAATTTCTTTTTATATCTGCATGAGTGTCCGTGTGCTTTATATAATATAATATATATATATAGCATTCTATATATGGTCAAATTTGCGTGCTTGCGTTTGTGTGTGTGCATGCATGAGTGTGTGTCCTCGAATCACATCTAAAAGGAGAGACAAGGGCTACATCAGGTTAACCTCCTCTGGAGAAAAAACGACACAGTTCATGATCAGTTCATGTAACACTGGACGTTACTGCCACGGTCAAACTGTGGCAAACACTGTGCGTATAATTATAGACTTCTGGGTGCCAAACCTAGAGTTTGCCAATATCAAACTAGTAAAAGTTTACCAGTCACATACATTGCATGGCTTGGGAATCAATCATATGCATACTCTGCACCACTGCTACATTATGCATGCGCACTTACGCAACATGGTTTCGAGTTCTAAAATACGTGTCAATAAAGTTCGTCTGTGTCTGTGTGTCCTTTTAAAAATCAAGTCCAAACGAAAAACCCCAGAGGCTAGATTTTTCTGCATCAACATGCCTGGTCTTTTATCACAAGGCATGCCACGTTAGGTTGACCTTCGAGGTAACATAAGATCAGCTCGGATAATCGTGACTCTATTGTACACATATTTTTCATATAGTTAAATGTTGTGAACAATTTTGCACTGTAGTTGGTGTGGAGCGCAATTACGTGTCATGAAAGATAATCAAATTTATTGTCACAAAACTATTAAGTGAGAAAATTATCAATATGTCATTACACAATTAACATGACGAATATATTGTGCTACGCCATTTGATTTAGGGCCCGTTTTAGTGTCTTATGCCATTTAGGGGTAAGATTTACATTATCTTACGCCAATAACTTATAAGGAGTGAAATTTGTTACCGCTGAATACGACAGTTAGGGTCCAATTTTGAATCTATGCTTTTACAAGCATGCGTACCAAGTAATATCCTGAGTGACGCCCCCGGGGCCAACAGTTTGTCCAAATGGAATTACAGCATTTCCCGCACATTTCAGTCTATCTACATGGAACGTGATTATATATAGGAAAAACGAAATGCGTATCCACGGAACCCATATATAGCAACCGTGACTGCAACATCTTCCCTCAATGAATGTAGGGGAAATGCAGGGAATCATTCTGCCAGTCGCAGAGTGCTGCTACAGATACCCAATTATCGAGTTCCACTCGCCTGTTCCTGCCCCCGCAAATTTGCCACATCGGTATGAAATAGCACGATCAATACACCGGCCAATATGGATGTTCATTTGCCCACATTACGCGTGTCCCTAGTCCCGACTATTACTAGAATAGTGAAAGTATGCATCGATAATAACGTAAGATCAGGGTCCGTGCCGACAGCACAAAAAAGTTTCATTCATGCATAGCTGTATTATCAAGAGCGTATTAAGAAGGCCTTGGTATTATGTAATAAACGCACACGCCTGCTACGCTATTTATATACTATGCACTCCTGTTATCATGTACTACTTATACTTTAAGATAACTAGAAAGGGCAGTTGTCGCCAACTACATGTATCCCCCGTGTTCTCCCCCAAGATGTGTAAGTATACGAAGTTTGGTCGCGCTAGGTCAATTAGGGGCCGAGTTATAGAGCGGAAGGGAAATATGATGAAGGTCAAGGTCAAGGTCAATTTCAAATAAAGGTTGCAGTGACCTGGTTTTGGTACGCGACACACCTCCCCAAGATGTGTAAGTATACCAAGTTTGGCCACGCTAGGTCAATTAGGGGCAGAGTTATAGAGTGAAAGGGAAATATGATGAAGGTCAAGGTCAGATCGGTCAAATAAAGGTTGCAGCAACCTAGTTTCGGTACGCGACAGCATCACCCCAAGAAGTGTAAGTATACCAAGTTTGGTCACGCTAGGTCAATTAGGGCCGAGTATAGAGGCGGAAGGGAAATATGACAAGGTGCAAGTAAAGATCAAATAATGGTCCGTAGTGACGGCTGGTTTTGGTGCGCGACACACCTTCTCCTCAAGATTGTGTAAGTATACCTAAGTTGTGTAGCGGCTAGGTCAATTAGGACCTGATGTTATATAGCGGAAGGGAAATATGAGCAAGGTCAAGGTAAAAAGTCAATAAGGAGTGTAAGTGAGCCTGGTTTGGTAGCGCTACGTCAATGTAGTGGCCGATTAGAGAGGCAGGGAAATATGACTCGTCAAATAAAGTCGCAGTGACCTGGGTGTGCGCTGCTGCGGCTCATCCTCTCGCCCAAGATGTGTTTAGTATACAAAGTTTGGTAGCGCTAGGTGAATTAGGGCCGGACGTTAGAGATGCGAAAGAGAAATATGATCAAGGTCAAGGTAAAGGTCAAATAAAGGTCGCAGTGACCTGGTTTTGGTAGGCTGCTCACCTTCTCCCCAAGATGTGTAAGTATACCAAGTTTGGTAGCGCTAGGTCAATTAGGGGCCGAGTTATAGAGCGGAAGGAAAATTCTCTGCGGAGGAACCGAGCGGCGGCAGCGGCGGCTGGGGAGACATGAAACCATACAACCGCCGACTTCGTCGCGGGGGATACAATTAGGATTTCATTAGTCCAAAACAAAATATATGTGTGGTTACCGTTACATGCCGGAAAAAAATAGGGTAGGTAGGTAGGGAAAACATTTTATTTTCTTGAAATATTTTATTTACGAACCATGTCCGAAGGATGTGCGTTGTGCCTTTTGAAGCAAGAACTAAAAAAAATTTTAATTAAAATTTTTTTTGTTTTTAATTTTTTAATTTGAAATTTTTTAAACTGAATAAAATGTTTAGGGTCGCTGGGAATAAATAGGGTCGGTCGGGAAACCTGAACCACACCTATATTTTGTTTTGGCCTTAGCAAACTTGCTATATTATACGTCTAAGTTCTAACACAAAAAGCATCAGGCCTTAAGTTTAATATATGTTTCTTGAATTTCTCTAAACTGCATGGATAACTCAAATTGGCATGATGACGTGCAGGAAATTTGGGGGAAATGTAACTAAACCTACCTAAAATGACTCTCTCTCTAAGGTAATTACTCTGCTAATTAATTACTACATAAAATCTCACAAAAAATTCATAACAAACAGAAATCTCGACTAAACACACACAACGCCATATTGAAAGTGATTACATCACCGTAAATAGTAAAACTAAGAAAAATATTTCCACTTTTTCACAAAATATAAGTAATTCTGTTCACTTTTTATGGTTAAATTGCTGCATTATACTTCCTATTTTACTATATATATTGTTCGATGTAAACATACGCTCGATGGGATGGGATGAGATGGCATGGATGGATGGATGGATGCATGGATAGATAGATAGTTAGATTTTTTGGGGTATTTTCCTTTCAACCAAGCGGTCACCAACTGAGTAACACCACTGAGTTCCCCGGGCAACGCTGGGTATCCCGCTAGTAATATATATATATCAGGAGTAGATAATAGGGAGGAGTGTGACATCAATAAGGCGCGCAATGGGTTGGATTGATGGCCAGAGAATGGAGAATCGTGTCGTACGTTTTAGGCTGTATCTACGGATTGCGGGTGTCTACGAGGAAACGATTTCGTACGATGATGGGCGAATGTACTGTGTCCGATTTGAGCTCAAGTTGGATGAGTTACGTGTAGTAAATCGTAGGTATTATAACGCTAGTAAATGACGAATTTCCCTTGTTTATTGATGTCACACTCCTCCCTATTATCTACTCCTGATATATATATATATACATCCTTTAATCCAACTGGCCATTAACCATTATGATGCACAGCAACTTGGGGTGTAATTTGTTACTATGACCCAATATTTCAAAGATCTGAGCACCGGAGACACTTGCTTTCCTAAATTAATGCTCCAGAGAAAAGCCATTGACTGAATAAGCATCCAATGATCTTCTTTCATTAAGTCACAATGAAAAAAAAAAATCTAGGGCTCTACATATATATCAGAAGTAGATAATAGGGAATAATTCCCTATTAGTATTATCTACTTCTGATATCAGATATATATATATATATATGTTCCAAACACCATTTTCACCACTACTGGAAAAATGGATTTTTGGTAGCTATGGAAACGGAGACAAAAGCCCCCTCAAGCAATCAATGCCTGCATTAGCTACCACATGGCCCACGGTCTGATTACTTACCCAGAATAGCCAATCAATAAAGCAGGTCAAACATGCATACGGCACCTGTAATGACTACATTACAAAGTCTGCATCTAAACTGCTGCTAATATAAAGCTGGGTTTACACTATCAACGTTTTGCTGGAAAATTGACGAATTTGACAAACTTCTCAATTATTTGACCGAAAATCGGCAGTGTAAACGTAAAAGTCTCGCGTGCAACTGGTTGCGAGATTAGAACAATGCTCCCTTTTCGCATACTCTGTGTCGGCGAATTGATCAAGTTTTTTGCCATGTGGCCACAAAAGCTTTGAACATCTGATAGAGAGGGAAAAACCTATCATCTCGTCGATTTTTCCAGTGTAAACCCAGCTTTTAAAAGTGGTAGGCCCCTATATAATCTTAAAGCAATTAGAGATTACTTTATTTTGAGATTATTTACACCTGTTGCTATGTATGCACATACCACGATGAACTCAATCTTATTCATACCGAGTTATAATATTTTCCATGGCGCATACATGAAGACTGGATTATAGAAATCCTTCGACAATTTGCAGGACACGTATTCAGACATGCATTGACATTATTGCACATGAAATTTGTGAGTTGGGTGTGTGACACTGAGTTTTTCCCCAGCGGATGTTAG